AGATTTTGTGTTATCTAAAGTTTAGAGAATCTTGTGCCTCAAAGTACTATGGAACACTAACTGTAATACAGGCTGATAACCAGGGCTTCAGTTTGTGTTAAAAAGTACAGCACACTTCTTGTACTCTTAATAGTTCATACAAGTACCGTGGGTTATGTGCATCTGTGCTACATCTCTCAATCCCATGCTTTATCTTGCTGCATGGCAAAAAAGCACCTATAGCTTGTGGCATGTAAACCATGGGAGGACTGGAATATCTCTGCCCATTCATTGAGCACCAGTGTGGTTGCATTACATTTCACATATGTATGGGTGGTTGGTCAACTCTACACTTGGCTCAAACTTGGGGTGACGTGGATACTTAGGGAGGATGGTCTGTTCGAGGTACAGTCAATGCAGCAGCTGTTGTAGGTTTCTTCTCTTGCAATTCCTCTTGTCAATAAGGAGAATATCATCACAATATGCTCAAGCAATTGCAGGACAAGCTTAACAGTGCGAATGACACTGATCATATGCATACATAGATAAAATTTCTGTGGCACTTCTCTTCTGAGCAGGAAACCTAACCTGGTGGTGGGTTATTTAAATTATTTAAATGCTCATATGCCATAGTTAGAAAGCCAGTTAAGTTATGATAGTTATAGGACATTCTTTTCATTGTTTATGCTATTATTCTGTGTCTTAGGTGCATTATTTAAGTAATTAAAATTTATATAATGTACTAGTACCATTATTATCTAAATTAGGATTAAATTTCATACGCAAAGAACACCAAGAAATAACAAACAACAACAAAAGGTCAAAGGTAAGTACTATATTTCATGTTTTTCATGTATGTTCTTTATTTATCATTATAAAAGTAACTAAAATGTAAAGATTAGAAACCCATTTGGCTATTAGGTTAAATAAAGTTAGATTAGGTAAGATAATGAATAGTAATAATAAAACTTCTTCAAGAGATATGCTCGCAAGCAGCTCATGCATTATGTCATTCATTATGGTAAGGTGAGCAACACATTCGCTGAGTGATTTACAACTTATGTGATGAGATTATTAATTAGACAGGTTCAAAAGGCAATAAAACAATAACATTAAATATATAAACAGATTTAGATTGTTACAAGCCTTAAGCTATTTAGGATAAGAAAATGTAGTTTTCGACACAGAAAAAAGGGCAATTTAGATTTATTTCCTATTTTTATATTAGTCAAATTGGCCAAAACCGCATACTGTTAGGGTAGAGAAAATAACAAATAAAATGTAAAGTTTTACTGAGAAAAACGTTTGATATTTATTTAGAGGTTTTTAGAGGTTAGGTAAATGAAATGTGAAAATTATATGAAAAAAATTTACTTTTAGTCTTAACATGAAAATCACTTTGCACTTTGACTCTATATATTCACTGGCAAATCTTTAGTAAAAATAGTGAATTACAAAAATCTGAATTTTTGTGCATAAAAGGCTTGTAATGTTTATTGAAAGCTTGTCAAATTCATAAAGTTACATAAAACATATGAAAATGTATTGTATGGAAACTGATAATTACTTCATTTCTACAGTGAGATACTATAAATGTTAAACGATAAAATTCATGGTGTTATAAAATGTGTGATATAAAACACTGGATTTCAGGGGAAAGGTACATCTTGATTAAATCCTACACGGGCATATATGGATTTATACAGTTAAATACTATAGAATTTAGATAATGAATTCGTTAAGCACAAAGCTATATGATGGGCTATCTGTGCTGTGTCTCCCAAGGGTATCGAAATCCGGTTTCTAGCATTATAAGCCTTCAGATTTACCACTGAGGGGCTGAGATGCTAAAATTCATGTTGTTATATAATGTGTGATATAAAACATTGGATTTTGGGGAAAAGGTACATCTTTATTAAATAAATCCTACATGGACATGTAGGTTGAGATTGATATAAAAATATTCAGAGTTAAAACTTTCTTGAAAATACTATTAGTACTAGCATTGATCTCTGACAGTTTAAGAATTCTCTTCTCTAATGTACATATGGTCCTGTATACGATATTGTTTGTTTTTGCTAGACGTTTAATCTCAAATCGACAATACGTGTTCGAGAATTGCATCTGTTGCTTTGGGGTTTTTGGGTTTGTAGAATCTCACCTGTTCCAAGACACCGTAGTTTTTTTTTTATCATGTCTGGTTTACGACTTTTTGCAGGTCTTTTTCAGGATGGTCTTGTGGTGTTAAGTTGATCTACATTCCTTTGTTTTCTAATACCATTAAGTACAAGGAATATCCCTGTCTTGAAATTCTTAATCCCTGATCTGAACAAATCTCAATACGTGAATGTATGAATATTTTGTATTAGAAAGGGTTGTTATTTACGGATAATATACCATTCCCACGAGTGATCAAATTGCTGTGGCATCACACTACCTACATAATGACAACGTCAGATGTAGTTCTGATAAATGGTGCATCCCTGCAACTTTATACTGGCTATGATTGTCACGTGGCTTGCTGATCTGCATATTCACAATCATTTTAATATAGGTAATTTTTTTAACACATAAACTAAGGATCCAGGTGAGTCAAGACCCCATAACTAATTTGTAATATGAGCCCATTGTAAAAAATACATTTATATATCATAAATAATTTAATCTATCTCATTATTACCCACCTTTATAAATTTGTAAAAGTTGACCATATTGTATATCCTTTTTTGTACGCAATACCACATAAAGTAGTAAAAACAAGAAATATTCAATTATTCGAAATAAAATGCAGATGATCTAGCAGCACATGTTTTATGTTAGAAATATGTATAAAATGACTTACTTCTTTTCCTCTATATTCGGATATACTCAGAAAATGGGTCCAAAAGACTTATTATTCATTGGTGTTTTGGAATAATGTTGATCCTCATGAAAACATTTAAAAATTCCTTGTTTTAATATGATGTACACAACCACGTATTCCTGGTATAATTAATGAATTTAAAAGCAGAGTTAACTAACTGTTTTTTCAAAAAACTTTTGTAGCTTTTTATTTATTTTAGTGAGAAGTGTTTTGTCTTGTGGATAGTTTTGTTTCAGCTCCTGATGATGGTCATCATGCGAAGTAACGGCCTTAAAAATGAATTGTTTAGTAATTAGTTGTTTTTTTTGTTTATTTTGTTTACCAGACGTGCTTTAATATTGATGATCAGTTAAACACATGCTTCTGATCATAATAAATGTAAGGTAATGCATGCGAGTTGTCATAATTTAAATTATATGCATAATTTTGATGGGACTAACTTTGACTGTATAATGAAACAAAATGATCTTGGTGTTATGGTTTATATGTTCAGAAATATTGACTATTTACGGAAACTCTGAACTGCAAGGTTAAAAATAATAATGGGATTATTTCGTTTATATGAGATGATATCCAATAATAAAGATGTATCCATTTGACATCACCATTACCGTACATTCGAGATAATTATTTGCACGTAAGTAGTAATATCTCGTCCGTAAGAGTTATTTTATTTTTTTAATTTGCAGTTCAAGGTTTCCTTATAATGTAAGTCTAAACAAGTTATAATTTCATATATACAACCATTAAACAGTTGGCCTGCTGTGTAATATTGAATAACGAATTCGACGAAATGTTATGTGATGGATGCAGTAAATTTAAGGGATTGAAGGCTTGAAGAACTGGCTTTGAATTTTTTCTTGTTTTTACGTTCATTAATTGTAGTGGATGAGACGACTCAGATGGATCAACAGGTCTCTTATTGTCATTGAAATTTATGTAATATAATGTTATAAAACGGATGTTATTTCAGCTAGTATGCACGACAGATTCATAATTAAAACAACGGAAAGCAAATATGACCAACACAAGCTACAAATATGCCATTATATTCGATGACGAGGAACCCA